CAATCAGAAGCCTTGCCGGGCACAAGCCCCACCTCCGTCCCTGCCCACTCTCTCTTTTCCCCCTCCCCAATATGATTTATTCAATTTTCAAAATTCCAATAACAAGTAATAACAATCGTTTACAGGATAGGTGTACATAGACTTAACAGCCTAAAAGAGAGCGTTTTTCATAAGCTTAGTCTTGACACCAACATTTACCCCAAACGAAGAGTGTCTATTTATCTCTGGTCTTGTTCCTTGAGAAACTAGATGGGATAAGATCGGTAGCCGTATCATTGCAAATTCACTATATTCGCCCTTAGATTTTGTTGGATTCATTATGTTGGACATTTTTCCCATTATGTATGGAAGTTCCATAACTTTTTGTACCATAAATTTAGGGATGGTTTAATTTCTGACTTCCATTTTGAGGCTATGGTTTATTTTGGCTGCAAATAATAATAATAATAAAGCAATTCCCTTTCGTTTGTATAGTGGATAAAGCAGTTTCATTTCTAAGGTTCAAGAGTATAAACTCTGGGTTCTTTTTTACAGTGTGACCAGGGTCAAGGGCCCAAAATTTGCTAGCTATCCCGGGCCCCAGGGATACCAAACTGGCCGCTACTAGGGCCAGGGCTTTTTTGGTGGTGGCTCCTACCTCGTGGAACAAGCTCCCGGGGGAGATCCGGGCCCTGCGGGATCTTATGCAGTTCCGCAGGGCCTGCAAGACGGAGCCTCTTCCGCCAGACCTTTGAGTAGGAGCCGCCGCCCCCACTATATCACCACCGCTGTGGGTTGGATGAGGCCCTGAAAAAACATCTGAACATGAAAGAAACCTTAAACCGTCCACCAGGAACTTCGGGCATACGTTCTGTCATCTTTGGACTTGAAGACACTGAGCACTTTGTTTAAATTAGGATTTTTAAGATGTACTGTATGTTTTTTAATTATTATGTATATTATGTTTTATCATGGCAAGGTTTCGCCTTGCCTCTGTAAGCTGCCCTGAGCCCACGGGGGAGGGCGGGGCATACATTTGAAAAATAAAAAATAAAAATAAAATACCTAATTTCCTCTAATGTTTCATCCCAAAAGGGTGCTACGATAGGACAATCCATCCAACAGTGGAGGGAGGGAGGTGCCATTCTCTTTGCAACCCCTCCAGCAGAGGGAGTTTGAATTGTGTGTGATATGAGATAACTGTACAGGGGTCAAGTACCCTTTAGTCATAATTTTAAGATTTTGCCATTTCAAAGAGAGTACAGAGGATTTGTTTTCGTAGGAATTCCAAATGTCTAACCAGATCTGTTGTGCGGAATTGGGCCCTGCCCACTCTCTGAAAGCACTGGCCAGGCACCAGGGCACCCACGGGGCACCCCGCCGGAGACCCCTGCCTTACTGCGTCCCCCCCAGCCAGAGGCAGAAGGGGAACCAGGTGGCCACGGCCCCCAAGAGGACCCAGAGGAAGAACCGCCCGGGCTTTGCGGCCAATGCCTCCACTGCTCAGCCCCAATCCCGCAGCATCACTGCTACAGTCCCCGTGTCCCCTGAAGGGACCCCCACCCCCGGCATGCACCCTGAGGAGCTTCTCGTTGGGGGCACCTTCCTCTGCCTGGAGTCAGCCCTGGCCTGAGAATGGGAAGCTCGTTGCACAAGACAGAGAGCCTGGTGGGACACAGACCGGATCCGCTCCTCTGGGCTTCACCAACCAAGGGTCTCTCTGGGCCAGGGTGCCACTTCCCGGCAGGTCTGAGCAGACCCGCTTCCACGCCCCCTTTTGCCCAGTCAGGGGTGTGCCCGGCAGGAAGGAGGCCTCTCGCCACTCCGTGGGGGCAGTGCTCCCTCTAAGCTGTGGAGTCCTGTGAGCAAAAATCCTGCTCTGTGAGCTCCTGGCATTACAGTTTTGAGTGAGCGATTTGGCTGCTGCATAAATTAGTTTGCTCTGGAGCCCCATCCTTCCTGAGCTGAGACAGAAAAGTGTGAGCTGGAGGAGGCTATGAAACTGTGAGCTGGCTCACACTAACTCAGCTTAGGGGGAACACTCCTTGGGGGTGCAAAGACTCCAGCCTCCCACCCAAACGAAAGGCTGCTCAGCCTCGCCCCAAGGAGGCCGCGTGATGCAAGGCCCAGGGCCTCCCCGCGGGAAGGAGAGGAGGGAAATCGCCTCCCCCCCACCCAGCCTGTCTACAAGCCTCCGCCTGGGGTCAAAATGGTGGCCTGCTCCCTCCCAGAAGCTGAAGAAGAAGAAGATGAGGAGACTGGATTTATACCCCACCCTTCACTACCCAAAGGAGTCTCAGAGCGGCTCACAAACTCCTTTCCCTTCCCCTCCCCACAACAAGACACTCTGTGAGTTAGGTGGGGCTGAGAGAGCTCTGACAGAAACTGCTCTTTTTTGAGGACAGCTCTGACAGAACTATGGCTTGCCCAAGGTCACACCAGCAGCTGCAAGTGGAGGAGTGGGGAATCAAACCCGGTTCTCCCAGATTAGAGTCCACACACTTAAACACGACACCACCAGGGCCTTCGCCTTCGGCAGTCAGAACGTTTGCAGGGATCCCCTGCCCCCAGAGGAGCTCAGGAGGGGGGGGGCCATGCTGAGAAATGGGTGGCGGGGGGGGCCCTACCTCCTCCGACCCCGAGCCAAAAATCAGCAGGTCAAAGGGGATGGCGGCGACCATGTCGATCAGGAACCAGCCCTTGAAGTAGTGGATGGCGATCTTGGCCGGGTGGCTGACCACCTCCTCGTTGGAGTTGACGTAGGTGGTCCGGAAGTTGATCAGGATGTCGATGATGAACATGATGTCCACGATGAGGTCCACCACGTTGAGGGGGCTGCAGTAGTAGCTGCAGATCCGCTGCTGGACCTCGCCGTCGTTGAGCAGGAAGGCGGCCGAGTAGGGGGTGAAGATGGCCGTGTAGATCACCAGCAGCAGGATCAGCCAATCCCAGACCGCCTTGAAGGGGCTGTAGTGGAGAATCGTCCATCTGTGGATGCGCGGGGCCTGGAGCTTGTATTCCGGGAGGACGTCGGCACCCAGGGACAGGACCTGCCGGCGAGGAGAGGAGAGGAGAGGAGGCGTCCGCCGCCGTCAGCCCCTGCGTGGCGCCCGGAGCTGCACTCGGCCCCCGGAGACCCCTCCTTGCCAGCCTCCAGGTGGGGCCTGGGGACCCCCCGGAATCACAGCTCCTCTCCAGACCAGAGAGATCCGGTTCCCCCCCCCGGGGAAAAGGGATGCTCTGGAGGGGGGGCTCCATGGCCTTGAACACCCCACTAAGGTCCCCGTGGCCAAGGGGGACCAGGCAACCCCACCGCAACCCAGGACAGGGCAGGCAGGTGCTGCCCCTTCCACCTCTCTTCCTTCCCAGGCCAGCGGCACAGACCGGCTGTGCCTCGTCACAGAGGGCTGGGCTGGACAGGGAGTCCCCCCCCGCCCGCCCCTGCCCCTGCCCAAGGCAGGCGATCCGGAGCCATGGCTGCCCAGCAAGGCACCCTCTGAGCTGTGGAGTCTTGTCAGCAAAAATCCTACTTTGTCGCTTTAATTGTGGCCTTAAAGCTGTGAGCAAGCAATCGGGCTGCTGCATCAATGACTTTGCTCTGGAGCCCCATCCTTCCTGAGCTACGAAAAAAATGTGTGAGCCGGAGGCTAAGAAACTGTGAGCTGGCTCACACTAACCCTGCTTAGAGGGAACACTGCTGCCCTGTCAGGCTTCTCTTCCCCGGCTTGAGCACTCCCACCCCCTACGAACTCTGTGTCCTCAACGGGGCCATCCCAAGGAAAACGACACCCCCTTTTAATCACTGTGGGAATGAGTGGAGTCCGAAGGGTATAGCTCCGCAGAGGATGGGGCCGCAAGAGCCTGGCTTGCAGCGGGAGTGAACCGGGAGGCCAAAACTGACACCGCCCCCCCCCTCCAGGGCCTCTGACCCGCCAGAACTTTCCCCCTCTCCACACCTCCTTGCAGGCTTCCCTGGAGCAATCAAATTGTGCACAAAACGGCACGTTTTTCTTCTCGTAATACCCAGCAAAGCTGCTCCCTGTTTTCCCGGGGGAAGGTGGATTTTCCTGGGGCTTTACTCAGGTCTACAGAAAAAGCTGGCTGGCCGGCTCATGCCCCCAACCTCTGGATTCAAGTGCCCACAAATGGGGCCACGTGGGGGATTACAGGCAAGCCCCCCCCCACTCCCTTCCAGCCCCTGTTCCGGCCCTGGCTGGGCCTCCAGTGGCCAGAAGGTCACCCTCAGCATCACGTAAAAGCACCCCCAGCGCGACCCATCCCCACCCCACAGGAAAACTGCCCCAGGCACATCAAGCAACAGCCGCGGCAGCACAGCCCCCTCCCCCACTGTGAGCATTAAATGCCCTCGCCTGCTTCCGTAGTTAGGGATACAAATCAGGACCCCCTCAAAGGAGGAGGAGGAGGAGATTGAGTTTATACCCCGCCCTACCCTTGGAGTCTCAGAGCGGCTTACAAACTCCTTTTCCCTTCCCCTCCCCACAACAGACACCCTGTGAGGTGGGAGGGGCTGAGAGAACTCTGACACAAACTGCTCTTTTTCAAGGACAGCTCTTGTCAGAACTACAGCTTGCCCAAGGTCACACCAGCAGGTGCAAGTGGAGGAGGAGTGGGGGATCCAACCCGGTTCTCCACTACACCAAACTGGCTCTCTGAGACAGAAGAAGAGGAGGAAGAGATTGGGTTTATACCCCATGGCCCTTCACTACCCAAAGGAGTCTCAGAGCGGCTTCCAAACTCCTTTCCCTTCCCCTCCCCACCACAGACAGACACCCTGTGAGGGAGGTGGGGCTGAGAGAGGTTTTGGCAGAAACGGCTCTTTTTCAAGGACAGCTCTTGACAGAATTGTGGCTTGCCCAAGGCCAGCCAGCCAGGTGCGAGTGGAGGAGGAGTGGGGGAATCCAACCCGGTCCTCCCAGATGAGAGTCCGCACACTTCACCACGAGGCCAAACTGGCTCTCCGAGATCCCCCAAGAGGCCAGCAGACATCACCCTCCCCCCAAACCGACTCCCTGGAGAGCACCTTAAGGATGCCCCGCTCTGGGGATCCCTCACCCCACAGACTGGCCGGAGAGCCGTGTCCCCTCCGCTTCCCAGGCCTGGCCGGGGCCGGCCAAGGCAGGGCTCTGAGGCCAGGGGTGCTGCCCAGGGGCAGGGAGCCTTCCTCTGGATGAACCCCCGGGGGCGGGGGGGGAGAGAAGGGCAGGGGGGGCGTGCAGGGGCCAGGAGGATTCTGACCAGGGGCTTGCAGGCCGGGCCAGCCACGGGGGAGGGGGAGAGACGCTGTGCTGCCCACTGCTCCTCCTCCTGGGCGAGGGCACCCCTCTGCCCAGGCAGCCCGGCCACGTGTGCCGCCATCTCCCCGTCTGCCCAGGCAGCCAATCCACAGCGCAGCAGCTGCACGGCCAGGCACGGGGACCCTGCCGTGGGCATCGGCTGCTCTTGTCCCTGCCTCCGTCCGGCAGGCCCGCTGAGCCGGGCTTCAGCTCACGCTCCCAAGGGCAGGCCACGCTCCGGCCCCAAGGCCAGCGCAGGGGGAAGCAGAGGCAGGGACGGGCTGGGCAGAGGGCCACCTTCGCCTCCCCAGACTGCTGTCTCGGCCGCTCGCCCCACGACGGGCACGGACCGGGCAGAGCCCCTGCCTTTGTGGCTCCGTGGCAGCGAGCAACATGCCGCAGAAGAAGAAGGGGAGTAAAAGAGGAGCCCTTCCTGGGGCGCCTGAATGAACAATACCGGGGGGTGGGGGGTGGGAGGAGGAACAGGGTGCCCACGAGGCCTAGCCTGGGCGTGGGCCTCTGTGTGTGTTTCCCATGCATTTCCAAAGGTGCTACCGGAGTGAAGGCCAAAGGGCCCTCGGCAGGCGCAAAGTGCCTGCCTCTCTACACAGGAGCCCTCACTGCTGGGGGTCCAGACTCTCTAGAGCTGGGGGTTCCTGGGGGTTTGGGGGTGGAGCCTGCGGAGGGTGGGGCGCTCAGGAAGGAGGCAGCCCTGGAGTTCACTCCAGGAGGACTGATCTCTTTGGGAGAACTCCTCCCAGAGACTGGTGGCCACCCTAGCTGGGACTCACCCACCTGGGCAGGGCTCCCGGAGCGACCGGCTCCCTGGGCCAAGTGAGCCCTGACCAGGGTCTTCCCTGCATCTTGGCCACCCCGGCAGATGTTGGGAGATCCCCAGGACCCGCCTTTCCCCTCCTTGGGGAGGAGTGGGGGCCAGCCCCACAGGGCCGGGTTTGTGGAGAACTAGAGGCGACTTTGGGGCTTGCCAGCACCTGGCCTCAGGAATGGAGCCTCTCCCCTGGACGAGCGGCCTGGGGTGGGGGGCAGCTCCCCTTGTGGGGAGGGGGAGGGAGAGGAGTTTGTCAGCCGCTCTGAGACACCTTTGGGTGGTGCAGGGCCATGGGGTATGAATCCAATCTCTTCTCCTCCTCCTCCTCTTCTTCTTTGCCAATCAGCCCTTCCCGGCTGCTCTCCCCAGAGGGGTGGGCGGCTCTGTGCCCAGGAGGGCTCCGGCTCTTCTTGAGGCTAACAAGAGCTTGGGGGGAGGCGGCAGCTGCAGAACCCCCCCCCAGTGGCACCCCTCTCTCTCCCCACAGCTGCCACCTCTTGCAGCGCCAGGAGGAATTAGATGTCCTGCACGCTGGGATGGGCACCGGGCTATAAATAGAAGAGGGGGCAAGGGGGCGGGGCACGCCACAAGGACCAGCCGGCCTCCCCCTCCTGGCACAGGGAATAATGACCTGTGGCGCCCAGGAGAGAGGCCCCCGAGGCCCTGCCCCCAAAGCCCCCGGGCTCACACGTCAGACCCTCCAGCCCCAGCACGGCCGGTCCCAATCCCGCAGGCTCAGGTGCCTCGAGGCAGGGGCAGAAAGCCAGGGCAGGGCGACGGCTCCGTCCCTCCTGGCCCTGCCCCCGGAGCGCCCCCAGCTGGGCTCTGCCTGAGGCACAGGAGAGGGGCCAGCGGAACAGGCCCTGGAGCTCCCAGTCCCAACATCAGGCCCCCCCACTGAACAGGGAGGGAGGGAGGTTCTGCAGGGGCCGGAAGCTCAGCAGCAGGGCCTTCTCTGGGGCCGCCCTCCTCTCTCAGCACCGGCTCTGAGGGGGCGGGGACTGAGTGGCGCTTCCAGCAGCCTCTTGCCTTGAGGAATTAGGATCCGGACCACCGTGCAAGGGGAGGGGGGTATAAACCCGGGTTCCCCTTCCCTGGGCTTTCCCTCCCACCTGGAGTTTGCCCTGGGGAGCCACGAGGTGCCCCACGGGGGCAAAGAGACTGGTTTCGAACTGGGTACAGCCCAGAGACATCAGGGGATGCAGCTGGGACCTCCGGCACGTACAGCGAGCTCTCTACACGTGAGGACCGGCCAAAAAGTAGGACCTCTGGGGCCCAATGCAATCCACAAAGCCGACTGCCACCATCACCCTCGAGGAGTGTGAAGCAGTAACAGCGTGTCCCTGAGCATGTGCAGAGTGCAATTCCCTTATTGCTTTCCTGAACCGTCCCCCCCTATTCAGCAGCACGGGCACGTCACTCTTCCGACATTAAGTGACGCCCGGCTGTGACCACGGCTGTGCCCGCCCTGCGCTGCCCCCAGGGGCGGTCGTATCGATGAGGCCAGGGCACGGAGCCCACACTGCTGCTGACGCATTAAGTGCCCAGCTGGAGCGTGACCCCCTCCCGCTCAAGCACGGCGGCGCAGCCAACCAGGAGATGCCACAACGTCATTATGTGGGGGGGGGGGGCTTCTGGGCATAAGCCGAGTGCCTTTGCCACGTCACTGAGAAGCCGCGGACAGTCAGCCTCGGTTTGGGAGGCAAAAGGTCTCCAGGCAGGCGGACCCCCCCCAGCCCCGGGCCCCCCTATGTTTCAGGAAAGTGGGCCAAGCCATTCTCCAGTAGGGCTTGCGGTTGAAAGATGGCTCCACCATTGAAATGCAACTGCTGGAAAAGTAGAAGATGGGTTTTTCTCTCCAACACACACACACACACACACACACACACACACACACACACACACACACACACACACACACACACCC